GCAGTACTCTTCGTCACTCAGTGAGCTGCCGCTGAGCACAGTTTCCACTGGGGGCTTCGGCTCAGTTGTGCAGGCCGTTTTTTCACTGAACTTGACATCCCGTGATTCCGCTGTAACGGTAACCATGACCCTGGTATCCATGATTTCCGGGTTCTTTTCTGCCTCTTTGCATGGTAGAGAATCAAAGAGTTTGTCTCCAGGACCCTGAAATTTAAGGAATACCGCCCCACATACACATGCGGCACGGCGCCCGGTTTTCATAAGGGTCGGGATATGATCCTCCGGCACTCAAAACAACGAGGAACCACCCGTCAGTCTGTTTATTCGCTTTGAGTAGCAGCCAGTCCCTGATGTACCCAGTGATTCTGGTACGCAAACACACGACCAATGTGGCGTGAGTCCTTACAGGCACCTTGGGCATCAGGGATAATGATACCACATTTAATTCTCTGTGGTATCTCTGACTGTTTCTTTGTCAGAGAGGTATTAGATTTGAGGTACAGAGTAGTAATATTCCCCTTCAATCAGCCCAGAGCCTTCCGGTCGTCGCACCACAGCTTCAAGACACCTTCCGTGTGAACGGGTTCTCCTCTATAAACTGGGCCTGATGCATCAGACCTCGCTGATCATCTTCCTCTGTATAGCTACGAGGATGTCGTCAGCTACCTCCTTTGTTATACGACCTGAAAGTGCACACGTTAAGGTCACACCCGAATCTGCTTAAGCAGCAGAAGCTTAGCTCGTTCTTGCAGCCTTTGGTTGCTGTTAGAGTCGCACTTTTTTATGCTCGCCTCTCGGCAAGTTGGACTCTTCCAGCATCCTTTTGGCTGCTCTTTCCTTCTTTCGAGGACGCTTGGCTGCTCTTTCCTTCTTTCGAGGACGCTTGGCTGCTCTTTCCTTCTTTCGAGGACGCTTGGCTGCTCTCTGTTTCCTGGCGGATTTCTTAGAGCTGGTTCCGGCGGCCGCGCCTACTACTTGAGCTTGATTTTCATCCTTCCCAGTTTCAGCACGGATACTGGTTCAAGCCCCAAGCACCGTAGTGGCAGTTGCTTACCCAGCTCCTCTGACGGAACGCTTGGCCATTTCCTAGGAGGTCCTAGCGCAGGTGGGTGTGTTAGTCCACCGGATACACCCACTATCTCCGGCGGAACCACCCCTCCTCTTTTATCTGGACTTAGGACCAGCTGCAACAAAAAGTACAGTTGCCTGTCTATCCATTGAAGCGGAGCGAGGCTGCGGAGTAGAGAAACGGAGAAATATTAATACGATTGCATAAAATCTCCGCTATGCTCCAGTGGACAGGGAATTGAAGGGAAGCGGCGCGTGGCAGCAGTGCGTGGCAGTGAGGTGGCGGGGAAACGGACCGGCTTCGAGGGGGATGGGATAGTATTCCGCTAAAGTTTGACCAATACGTCCTCCGTTCAAATTACACGTCGCGTGAACTTTGCCTAGCTTGCACATCGCACAGTCCGCAAATCCGATCCGCAATACTCGCTCGCTCCGCCCCGCTGCTTCGCTCCGTATAAATTGACAGGCGCAGTCCGCAACTCTGCTCCGCAATACTCGCTCTTTCCGCCCCGATGCTTCGCTCCGTATATATTGACAGACACAGTCTAAAACTTCGCCCCCCATTATTAGCTCGCTCCGCCGCAGAATCATGCCTAGAAGCAAGGAGAAAAAGAAAAGAACGCCGTTAATGTGGATAATCTGACAAATGTCGTTAAAATTATTAAGGAGAAAAAATTCTCAACCTTCGCTGCTTCCAAACATTTTGGAATACCAAGAACAACTTTGGGTCGTCATCTAAAGCACTGTTTAGAACATACGACAACCAAACAATATTTGTGAAGGTTTTAGTTCAACTGGTTTTCATCCTTTAAATGAAAACATCTACACAGATGCTGATTTTACGCCCGCATCCTATTCTCTCATTTGTCGAAAAATCACCCACAAGAATTGATCAGATGCCTTTTAGTCAGCCATCTACTTCATATTTCGAAGTTATACACAGAAAATCACCAACTTTGATATCGCCGGCTTTATTTTGCCCTCATCCAAAAGCTGACCCTCGTAAAGAAACACGAAAGGGAAGGCAAAAAGGAAGACCTAGAATTTTGCCCGATACACCAGAAAAGTAAGAAATTGAAAATATAAAGGCTAAAAAACAAGTTTCAACCAAATCTAATCAATCAGAGTCCATAAATCTTTTGGCAAAAAATAAGTTAGTGAATGAAAACAGATTAAACAATGCAAATAGGATCAAGAGAAGAATTCTATCAGAAACAGAAACAAGTGAAGATTCTATCGACTATTCACTGAGTGGTACATCTGAGGATGTCTCCGACAGCGAGGTTGAGAATCTACTATGTTATGTTTGGTATACGAAGGTCCCCATTTTGTCGGAAAGGTGGAATCAATATCTGAAGAGGGTGTTGTGCTGAAATCAATGCAAAAATCACTTAAAAACTGGAAATGGCCTGAAAAAGAGGATTTGAATCTGTAGCCTATAAGTGACATTACAGAAAAAATTAAAACTCCGCAAAAAGTTAACAAAAACAGAGAAATTTATTATGTTCCAGAGATACAGAAGTACTGGGATTTCTACTAAATGCTTGAGGCTGAGTAGTATACCTAGATAATACTAGAGTTTGTATAAAAGCTAGTCCTAATGACTGACTAAAAAGTTAAAAGAGAAATACTTAAGAATGTATAAAGTTAATTGTTTAATTATTTTATTTTCTATAATTGGTAAGGTAGGTTACAACTTACTAAATTTGCATAGCACATATGAATAAACATTTTAGTCTATTCTTTAGTCGTATTACGTCAATGCCAAAATTAGGTTAATATACTGTGTTTTTTTAAAATAGTGTGGTAAAATAGCTGTGGCAGAATACCAGCGGTGACCTAAAATCACCACATAGCTGAGTCACAGGCCAGTTTGTCTCATTACTGTTATTTTACTTAAGTATGTTTCTAAGTTAAGTTTGTGATGATTTCTATTTGTAAATTTTTAATAATATGTGTAAACTGAGACAAATGAAAAGCTTATTATTATTATTATAATTATGTTGATTTGCTTTATAATATGTTACGTTATGTGTTTAAATGTACCTGTTTATGTACCGAATAATTTTAAAGTTTTTCATGTTGTGATAAAACAGTGATTAAAAGTTTGTAATTTTTTGTTGAAAAAAAAACTACGATTTTGTTCACAATTTCCTAGTTATTTTTTGTTAAATATTTCACTAGACCGAATAAAACGATTTTGGTTAAGAAAAGTTAATAGTTTTCTTAAATTACCCCCAAATTCTTGTTGTGTCCTAGGTACACCGTAGTACTGGCCCAGGTACATAGGGTGTGTTGTACCTTGGCCTTAACACATTCCTGATATTTTAGTGAATACTCAAATAATTGACCTTTCAAAATATCCAAATATGGTTTGTATACAAAACTTCAAATCACAATAAAAAATAGGTATCTAAAAAACTGTACAACAGGTTCCCCTACTTAGTTAAACTTCAATAATATATAATATGAATACAAAGAATGATAGACCGTTAATGCAGTTTTTTAAAATACGAGTAAATAAGGCTTCTACTTATATTATTATCCCAAATTGAATGTGATTTATGGGCAACAAAGTTAATGCCTACCAATCGAATAATGTAATACCACTCATTTTGAATTGAAAAGATAAAAAGAATTCGAATTAATTTTTCTTCGCCATTTGCCTATATTACTTATTCTGAACCTTCTTTGCAAATTGGACCAGTTATTGCAAAACCCTGTATACAGCTTTTCTTTAAAAGCTTACTGCACTTAAAGCGTATGACGCAAAGTATTTCAGTGACCGTCCAGACCTTATGAATAAATCTAAAAAACGAACGCTTTCTTTTACCAATTTTCATGCAATAATTTATGGTGATAATTATTTGTTTAGTTGCTGAAGTGCTTCTGTTTAGCGAAATGCATGGTGAAGATTATGGAGACCGAATAAATAAAATTAGAGTTCGTGTAAAATTTTTTATTTCAAAATGATTTAAAATTTAAGAGATTTATTGCAGTTTTTTTTGTCTTTAAATTTTTTCTAATTTTTAACATTGACAATTATGAATTAAAATAGCTTACATAACTAATTAAAGTATTTTTAATGAAAATATACTTGGAAATACATAGTTACCACTAACTACTACATTTTTTTAAATAATAATACTAACAACGTCCCCGTTAACCACTGCAGTATGCTTGTGTGGTTCGCGACAGAAGTCGAATTGCGGATTTATTGAATCCACGATTTTTGAGCTCGCGGACCTCACTCTAGGATCAGGCTACGGTCGCTTTATCTTGTGATATTTTTGACAAAATATTTGAGTTCAAAATAATATAAAAATCAGTGTTGCTGTTTTCTTTTTAAAAGAAATTGATAATTAAATTTAAAAATAAACAAACATATCTACATAATTTGTGATGTTTTTTTCCAGATCATAACTTATCTACAATAACCTAAATTTCCCTAGCTTTATCTTAATATAAAAACGAATACAAAATTCGGTTACTTACTTATCGTACTTTTTATACTAAATGTTAAGTCACTATTTAAAATATTCATTTTGTTTTTCATATATTAATTAATCACAGATCAAGAATCAATTTAAATAAGTATAGACATACAAGTATAACGTAAATAAAAATAAAAAAGCGGTTTTCCATATTGTCCTTCAAGAAGAGAAATAATAAGTTGGAACGTATCACAGTTATGTTACAATACTTATCGTATACAGCATGTTTATTGTATGATTTTATATATGATATAATAATCGACATTTGCAACGCATATAAATATCACATTGAACTTCTTATGTTATTGTTTTTATTTTTGCCAAACTACATTATCAAATATATAAAATACCCACCCACCCCTACATTATATGCAGGTACTATTAATTAACTATTAAAATTAATTTAAAAAAAGACAGTCAAGTCTTGTATTGCTATGATTATGTTTCTTCTTCTAGCACGCAGTAAGGTGTTGTTGAAGCATTCCAGGAATAGTACTGCACAAACCTGTAAAATTAATAAATAATAACAGCAACAGTGTCTAATTGCGCTTTGCATATTTTACGTTATAAAAATAATTTTATTTTTATAACGTAAAAATATATATATATATATATATATTATAATTATAAAATAAAACAAGTTATTAAAAAAAAGTAACGACAGTCTTTGGTCATGTTATGATTATCCTAATAAGAATACTCATATTAATTAATTTAGATATGGATAAACCAAACTACGAATATTCCTAAAAGTATTAAAAAATAGAAAGAAGTATTAAAAAATTTAACACTCAGCATCATTGCTGAGTGTTAAATTTTTAACAGTCATCAGGTGCACTGTAGGTTCACTGTCTGTTCGTTTGTAACATCAGTTTTATTAAAAAAAAAGATAAAACTTTTGCTAAGCTTCAACCATCTGTCCAATAAAGTTCATAAAAGGGATATTCTCGCTATAGATTGCCTCTTATATAAGGTGCACATAAGATGGGCGGCTGATAATTTCGCGGCCTAAGGCATTAAATGAAAGAGAAGTATATTTCATTTTTGTTCTCAACTAACGATATGCCCCGGGTTCGCACGAGTGATATCTGGATACTATAACAGCGGCACCTACCGAGTCCAGCTACGTCTATAACTTTCACGGAAGTGCAAGTAATATGTTGCACACACACACACACACACACACACACACACACGCACACGCACACGCACCCGCACCCGCGCACGCGCACGCGCACGCAACGCCACACACACACACACACACACACACACACACACACACACACACACACACACACACACACACACACAAATCAATTTTAATAGTAAATGGCCTAAAGGTTTTTGGAAATCTAAACGAAATCAAGAAATCTGAAAAAAAAAAGTTGTTTTGATATTTGTGTTCTGGTTAATGTAATATGAAAAAAATGCATGTAATGAATCACTTTTATTTGTATATTACATATTCGTTATTAAAAAGAGATACCACTGTGAACTTCTTGCTTAAATTCTATTTCTAAAAGTGTTAGCTAATATCATATCACATGGTTCAAAGTGACCGTGGAACGAAACGCTATTTTGTGATTGACTTCCAAGTAGGCATGTCGATTCACTTAAAAAAAATCGATCTTCGATACGATTCATATCGACCATACTAGAATCGATTCTTGATTAAATCGAGCACTAAAAGATCGATTTCAATTAATCACGATATTTTCAAACATGCCTACAACATGTAACAATAATACTTTAACAAAACTGTAAACTACAACGTACATTCCTCGATAAATCAAATAGAAATGAATGCTACACGAATTCAATACTGTGTTTCGTTACATAAAATTTCGGGGCGGCACTTAAAATTTCGGGAATCAAGGAAGTGACACAACATTACTATTTAAAAATGTATTTATTGCTTTTCGAAGTATTCTCCGCGAAATTTGACACATTTCCAACACCAATCATTGAAGCAACCATTCCATTCGGAAGTTGGGGTCTCCAAAATGGCCGTTTTGTAGGCGTCCACAGCTTCATCAGGTGATGAAAATCTCTGTCCACGCAATTTATTCTTTATTTTAGGGAAAGTATAGAAATCATTAGGGATACGGTCGGGGCTGTACGGCGGATTGTCGAATAATTCTATATTTTCTTGCTCTAAAAACTTTTGTTCTGTGTGCGGTGTGAGAACTCGCATTGCCGTGATGGAGGATGATGCGGCGGTTGCAGTTCTCTTTACGGAGTTCAGAAACGACCTGTGGCAAACAAATGCTAGCATACCATTCTGCATTAACCGTTCTTTGTCCCTCAAGAGGAATAGTCGTAACATGGCCGGTTTTGGAGACAAACGTGGCCACTATTTTTTTTTTGCAACACTCCGTGAACGAACAATTTTTGTTGGCTTTAACATCATTTTCGAACACCCAAACTCGTGACTGGTTTTTTGTTTCGGGTTCGTACGCGTATATCCAGGATTCGTCACCTGATACGATGTTGTATACAGCATTTGAGGATCCTGCGTGGAATCTTTCGAGAGTTCTGACGCACCAAGTAACGCGAGCCGCTTTTTGCTCGTTACAGAGCGAATGCGGTATCCATCGGGAAAACAACTTTTTACACCTAATTGTTCATGCAAGATTATTTGTATTTGACTCATGCCAATATCTAAAGTTGCCTGAATTTCGCGGTATGTCACATGTCGATCTTCCTCAATCAGCTTACGCACAGCATCAACGTTTTCTTGGGTGACTGCAGTTTTTGGAAGACCTTGACGGGGATCATCACTGAGCTTGACACGTCCACGTTGAAATTCAGCAAACCAGCGATAAATTGTGGTTTTGGATGGGGCTTCATCACAAATGCAGAAATCATCCGGTCAACACACAGTTTTTCTATTAAACCACTTCGAAAGTCATAATAAATCATCGCTCTTGAATTTTCTCGAGTCAATTCCATTTTCTCAACGACTAAACAAGTTTGACAAAACCTTGTGACAAGACCGAGAATCTTTTTTTTAAATAAATAAATGGTATTCGATTTTTAAAACCAAGGAGTTTTCAATTAAAAAGATTTTAATATGACAGGAACAGTGGAAATATTCCATTCCCGATACTTTTAGTGCAGCCCTCGTATAAACTTTAACATAATATTTACGTATTTCTCGCAGAAATTTTTTGATAAATAAAGTAAATTCACAGTACAGATTAGGTTACGGACCGGGATCCACGGATTAGATTAGAAAAGGCAATGACAAGTGAGTTTTTTTTTGGTAAGTACGTATATTATACGCGGTAGGACCACGATGCAGCTGTATTAATTGTAGCATGAATGGGTCGGCTTGGTCGGGGTAGAACCACGCTCTCACAGAACAACAGCGCAAAATAGCAGCGTATAGCGTTTCGAAAGATGTATTCTATAGTGAATGTAAAGAACTGGAGAACCTTTTTCTGTAAACGAGGCATTCGATCTTAGTCTTCAGGGGTGATAACGTATCTACATTTTAATTCTTAATTGAGGATAAGTGAAGACGTCTATAAACTACAGCATCCATTTACCATTAGGTGGACTGTGTGCTCATTTGACACCCTTACTCTATAAAAAAACGTGTGTAACATCTTTGGATGCGTTCAATACATATTTGTTGCGTTGAAACCGTGGTTGATAACCAAGTATAATACGACCGGTTGTTTTTGCGTCCGACAACAGCAAAAAATTAAAACGTATCGCAGTTCTTGAATCAGTCCGGTTACATAGGTTTTTGGATCGATTCGAACCGATGTAATGTTCTAAATCCATTATTTTACTCTAAATATATTTTTGATATTCGATTTCGGATCGACACGCCCTTTTTGGTAGCAAAATAAAAAAATTGATGTAAAATTACTGTGATTTGATATAATGTAACTTTATAATATCATATATAAAAGTGATTTTATATATGATAGTAGCTTTCCAGGCAGACGTTGTTCTGCCCTTTTCGACGACCATTTGTAAACCGCAAAAAATTTTTTGGATCACTCATGGGCAAAAAAACTATTCTATCTCTCAAGTTGGACCAAACTGCACACGGTGTGCAAAATTGATTAAAATCGGTTAAGTAGTTTAGGAGTCCATTGTGGACAAACAACGTGACACGTTATTTACATATCTCAAGATTATAAACTGAGTTTGTGGTAAAGTTTAGAAAGGTTCCTATTTGAAATTATAATAAATACTAATACTAATTCATTAAAAGTTTTTCTGCTAAAGTGAACAGTATGTCAACGAAACAAAAGAAAACTTATTAACTTATTATTTATTGTCGACGCACAAGTGTTAAACATAATGTGGATAATATCATGCAGGTAGCCAAATATTAATATCCCTCATTATATATTTCTCCTTAATATTTTGTGTGATAGCGTGGTGAATTCACGAATAACACTTGAAATTCAAAAATGAGCCGCTGAGTTCACTTATAACATCATAGACCAATATAATACTGGAGATAACATATGGGTATGTATGTAATACAAGACATTACTTTTCCATCTAGTTTTGAAAATCTATAATTTATGTTAAATTACGTAAAAAAAATGACATACACAGGTCTAGGATCTTTAAGTTTTATGTTATTAGTAAAATCTTAAATAAACAATAGATTTTATATGATTTATAGTAAATGATAACTTACAATAAATCACAAAATAGACACAAAGAAGGTTTTGTGTATGTTAAAAGAGAATTAGAATCTATGGGTCGAGGGATTTAAGGAAGCTTTTTAATTTCATGTAACTTCAACGGCTTTGAAGAGCGATTTTTTTAACTGAATTCAGGTCAGTCAGTTCATACCTTATGAATTTAGCTAGTTGCTCAATACCAAATTACTTATTTGGTAATCCAGACATGGATCCTGAATTTATGCCAGCCATATTAGTAGATGGACAGTATTTATATGGTACATATATTTATGTGTAAAAAATAGTAATTACTTGTACCATAAGGAAATATACAGCTTTTATAAGTATCGTAACTTAGTTAAGACGTTTTTACTTGTGTAATAGTTACCTATATTCTTGATGTTTTTCGGCCATACCTTGTGACATAAATCAGATGCTTCCGCTATTTTTAAGACTGCTGTGTTGTTAACTCTGTAGGAAGGAATATTATTTTGTCATCTACCATCAGGAACTTAATATAAAATAATATATTTTTCTCTACCATGAGACCAGTGAAAATAAAGTCAGACAACTTATACATAGTCAAATATTGTTGTATGTAAATCCATAATTACCACTTCTGTATTTGATGAATTAGAGCGGATTATTGGTGTTCTGTTTAATAATATCTTGTTTGAGATAACAACATGATGGAACTATGGAAATATATTGTTTATTGACATTGAAGGCAAAGTCTTATCTCATATCTCTTATTATTGAAAATGTCCTTCTGATACCTAACAATATTATAAATGGACATGGTTTTTTGGCTTTAAGTGTTTGAAATGTAAAGTATTACTTAATCAATACA